TCTGACTCTAGCCCACAGCTCCAATGTCACAGGTTAGCCTCTTCTCAAGTAGGAGTCCTGTGCTGAGCACAGGAGCCACCCAGAGGGCTTGGCCGGCTACTTGGAGCTCCAAGGGCCCTTCTTTTCCCCACCCGAGTTGCTAGCTATAAACTAGTCTCTCCCAGGGAGGGTCTGGAGGAGGGCCTCCCTACCTGCCTCTACAGTTCTCTTATGCCTAAGCGGTGTAGGCCAGAATCAGACAGTGACCCTTGGTTAGGTTGGGTGTCCATCTCCTGCAGCCAGTGGACCTTGAGGAGGATCCACCTGAAATGCAGTTCAGGGGGCTGGAGAGATGGCTCAGCGGTTAAGAGCACTGCCTGCTCTTCCAAAGGTCCTGAGTTCAATTCCCAGCAACTGCATGGTGGCTCACAGTCATCTGTAATGAGATCTGGTGCCCTCTTCTGCCCTGCAGGCACACATGCCAGCAGAATACTGAGAATACTGTATACATAATAAATAAATAAATCTTAAAAGAAAAGAAAAGCAGTTCATGCTGAACAGCAGACTGCACTTTTAGGGCCTCTTTGTCCCCTGGGCACACCAACCCAGGTGGATCGTGGGACTCACAATCCATAGGGACAGTTTTGATCTTAACTGTGTACATATGAAAAGCTTGCTTCAGAAGGCCTGCAAATCAGATTCAGGCCACCCTGGGCTACAAAGTGAGATCCTGTCCAAAAACAAAATAAGCAAAGGCTGGAGAGACGGTTCAGTGGGTAAGGTCACTAGCTACCCTTGCAAAGGACTGGATTTGGTTCCCAGCACCCACACAGCAGTTTGCAACTGTCTGTAAGTTTGTTCCGAGAGATCTGATGGGCTCTTCTGGCCTCCTCGGGCACCTGCAGGCGCGTGGTACACGTAACACACTCAGGCACACACATACATATGATTTAAACAAAAATAGGAGCTGGAGAGGTGGCTCGGTAGTTGAGAACACTTGTTACTTTTGCAGAGGATCCAGAGGGATTCCTAGCACCAGCACGATGGCTAGCCATTTCACAACTGGTGACTCAGTTTCCCTGATTGCTTCTTCTGGCCTCTGCAGGTGCCGCAGATACATGGTACACAGCCTTCGTGCTGGCAAAACTACACATATACACAAAATAAAAATGTATAGATCTTTAGTGAAATGGAAGCATGCAGTAAATAGTTTTTATAGCGTGGATTCTTTCTTTTCTTTATTTTTCTTTATTTGTATTCTTTTTTTTAGGCTGGGGTGAGTAGGACGGAAAATGTGAGCCTACTTCCACGTTGAACAAAGGTCAGAGAGTTGGAACTGCCTCTAGTTCCTTCAAGGTTATTATGTTTCTATCTCAAAAATCCCACCTAGATTTAGCTCAGAGAGTTCTGCTCTCTCAAGGTTATTGTCAACAGGTATAGCTAATATCCAGACCTTGTATTTCAGGAATAGGGAAGCAGGTGTGTTCCTACCTCAAACAAAAGTTTAGGAATCCGACTAAGGGTCCAATTCCTTTATGGAGAGAATATAGGATTCCACCCAGGGAGTGGTTTGCCTACAGAGTGTTTTGGTCTAGGGCATGAGCGTGACTTGCTGACTTGTCTTATTCTAGCAACAGAATGGATGTAGTCCACAACCTTCAACTGGTATATTCATTTCCTTGTATCATGTTAATGCAGTCTTTTGTCTTACTCCTACCTTTGGTGGGGGGGGTCAGGGGTATTTAAAGCAATCGGAAATTAAACATGGGCAGATTTCAGTACTCACTGGAATTCCCTCCCATACTATCCTATATGTTTCTCTGTTTCACTATTTTCACATTTGCAACTTCATATTCTTTACTATATTTCTAAATCCCCACTGTAATGATCTGTCCTGTCTCTTTAAAAGACAAGCCACCCCCTCCCCCCCACCCCCCACCTCTGTTTGCCAAGGCAAGCTGATCTTCAGCTTCCAGCCTGAGTCTCTTTCTTTTCCAGCTCCCTCTCAAAGAGGCAGCTTCCATCTCTGCCTTCTCTCCCCCACCCTCCCGCCTCTCTGCTCTTCTTCCCTTCTCCTTTTCCCCTCCATAACCCACGAAATAAATATCCAACCTCACTCTGCATGGCCTGTCTATCTGTCTGTCTGTCTGTCTCTTACCCACCATGTGGCTCCCTGCCCGGGACCAGTCACCTTCAGAGACCTTGCAGAGACCTGTGGTCTTGTGCGTGCGTTGTCCCTGCCTGGGACTGGTTGCTCTTGGGGACAGGCAGTAGTCTCATGGCCCACTGCAGCCACTCAGGGTCCTGCAGCATTTTGCTTAATCCATTACACCCATGACTGTACCCTGATAAGAGGTAATTTTGTTGAGGCTGGTCCTCAGTACAGGGGCTCACTATGTAGCCCTGGCTACCATAGAATTCACTATGTAGACCAGACTAGATCCAAATTCACAGATCCATTGGTCTCTGCCTCCTGAGTGACGAAATAGCTTGGCTCCTCTCAGCCTCACTCTGTAGCACAGCTGCTGTCAGGCAGGTGCTGTGTGGGAGAATCAGTTCGGCCCTATGGAGTCTGGGGGTGACAGTTTTGGGAGACACAGAGTGGGGGTGGAGAGCCTGGAGTGAACAGCAAGACTCCTGGGCTCCTACTTGGCTACCAAGGCAGAGGGAGAAGATGAGAAAGTGACCAGGAAGGAGGGTGGCACCGTGGGGGCTTCTACACTGAGGTGGGTGGTAGGCTCTGGGCAATGTTTCAATTGTGGAAACGGCAGATTTAAACCCAGGCCTGGAATCAGGGTGGAGCTGGCCTGAAGTCACAACTTCATCCATTCCTGCTACCCTAACATAACGGCAGGGACAGACGGCTAGATAAATGACAAGAGATTGTTTCTTACAGCTCTGGAGGCTGGAAAGTTCAAGGGCAAGCTAGCCAACAGATTTGGTGTCCAGCCAGTCCCTTCCAGTTGGCATCCTCCCGGTGTCCTTGCATGTTGGGTTGGTCTCCTCCCGGTGTCCTTGTGTGGGAAGAAAACAGAGAAGAGCAAACGGTTTAGCTTGTTCTCTGGGGCCCTGTAGTTAAAGCACTGATCCACTCCTGAAAACTGATTAATCGCTCTCTAAACGATTGATCCGATTCCGACCACACTTGTCTTCAGCAGCAGTTTACAGACTTGGGAGGGACACAGACATCCAAACCATATCTGGGATGGGTTTCATGTGACCGTAAGGGAATAAGCTGTGCTTACTTGCTGAGTCCTGAGATGAGATCACACTAGGGCCAGAAGTCAGGGCGAGACTAGAGAGAAAGAGGAGAGCGGAGGGCCGGGCTCTTACCAGAGATCATTTGGGGCCTAGAGGTGGACAGAAAGAGTATCTCTAAGCCTAGGCTGAAGACCCCCTTTCTATAATATGTCCTGAAATTTCATCAGTTTGGGGCTTCTAAGGCTGCATTTGGCTGAATGAGTGAGTGCAGGTGGAGACAGCTTGTATGTTCTCAGCAGCCTGGACCGGAAATAATGATACAGAAACTATACTGATCACAACACTGCTTGGCCAATTGCTTAGGTGTATTTCTAGCTAGCTCTTATATCTTAAATCAATCCATTATTTTTATATTTTACCATGAGGCTCATGGTTTACTGGTAAGGTTTCTGGGCATCTGCCTCCTTCTGTGGCTACATGGTGTCTCTCTGACTCTGCCTACTTTCTCCCAGCATTCAGTTTAGTTTTCTGCCTACCTCTATTCTGCCCTGGCACAGGCCCAAGCAGTTTCTTTATTCTTTAATCAATAAAAGCAACACATATACAGAAGGATTTCCCACACCAAGTGAGTCCAAAGCTGATTCCTCAGCCCATGTGCACTGGCACCAAGCAGGACTGTGCCCTGTGCTGGCTACAGTTTGAAGTCTATAGCTAGAATGAAGAGGCAGCACAGAAGTACCTTCAAGGGTGGGATGGCAAGATGAGAACTGGACAATATGCCATGAGAATAAAAGAACCCTGCCAAGTGTCTCCACTGAGAGCGCCAAGTATGGATTTCCTTGGCAAAGGCTGAATCATGTTGTGCTATGATGGCACAGCTGCCTATTAGGTAAAATTAGGGGCCCACCCAGGAACCAGCCACATTGACTTCTCAGTCTCTCTCCATTCATATCTCAATTTATTTATTTATTATGATGATGAGAAGGAGATAAGGAGCTTGCTATGTCGACCAGGCTGGCCTTGAACTCATACCTAGCTCAGCCTCCTGAGGACTGGGATTAAAGGCTCTCATTCCAACACAAGTCAGAGTGTGGGGGTGGTAGGGTCTGCAGGAGATGCCAATCATTAACTCTTGTATCACAGGTGGGCAAACTGGGGTTCATCAAAGCAACAGGAGAGCCTACGGATGTTGGTTCTCCAGCCCCCGACCCTGATTTGCATTGTAAACAGGTGGCATCAAGACAGTAGCAGCAGCAGAGGCAGATGGTGTTGATTGGTGGTGGGCAGTCCTCAGTCCCTACTGTTCAATTAAACCACCAAACTCCCTTCAAACTTCCCCAAATTGCCCTTCGGGGTCTAAAGCAACATGGGCAACACTCCTTGAAGCTGCCTCATTTTCCCCAACTGTAAAACAAAAGGGGTAGCCACAGTTCTCCAGAGCAGTTTCCAGGGATTTGTTCAGTGATGCCCTTCTGTTTGGTCCTGGGACTGCTCCGGGACAACTCCAGCCCCAGTCAGTGGCAGGGTTTGAGCCGGGGACCTCGGTGCCTTTTAAGGCCATTATTCTCTTCCCAGCTAGATAGTCACAGAAAGACAAAGCACGTTGGAGCCACTGGGCCTTTTTCGTTCGCCTGGTTCTGCTGGGTATCGTGGGCTCCGGCGATACCGGACCAAACCAAGGACGCCCCAGGAGCCCTCGCATCTCCATTACTCTGCCTACCAACGAACCCCGCCTCCAGATGCCGCACCCACTTTGGAGCCCCGCCTTCTTTCGGCCTCAGGGCGGGGCCACTTCGGGGCTGCCCGCGGAGAAGCCCTGGCGGTGGAGATCTGGGGCTCGGTTAGAACCAGCGAGCTCGACAAAGGCCTGGGGCGTCCTGACACCTTCACTCGGTCCTAGTCAATGCTCGGAGGCCTTCGGGTGGGTGAACCGGCCCCGCAGCGTGGGCCATTTCCGAGGCACGTGGTTTCCAAGGCCCCCGCCGGGACCGAGAAAAGTTTATGGTTCGGATCACAGCAGAAGGGTATAGCATTGCGGGAGGGCAGAAAGAATCCTAGATGCTGCAGCCACCCACAACATCTGGCCTCCTCCTCCAGAGCGAGCATGCGTCGGAAGACCGGCGTTTCCCGTGAGACTCTTTCGAATAGATGCACGGTGTGGAAACAACCGACTGCAAATCTCATGTCACCGCTGCACTCCCAAAAGACAGAAATGTCGAGCCACTTCTAAAGCTCCTGGGGTGTGCTTCTGGCTCTCAGACGGGAGTGTGCTCCCAGTACCCGCACAGCCTCTAGTCCCTGCTCGGCGTCATCGTCACCATCGGCAACACTCCCGGCCAGGAGTCCTGTCCCTTTAAGACACCCTAGAGCCTTAGTCGTTTTGGTTTCGCGCGCCCGCCCGCAGCGCCGGCAGAGCGACCATGGCCCGGGCAGCGCGCGCTGCGTGGGTTCTTGGCTTGAGCCGGTGCGCCCTAGCGGAGGGGTCGCGTACACGACCCTGGCCGCCAATCTCGGCGCAGAGGTGGGCCGGCTTCACCAG